CCTAAACCCTAAATCCTAAACCCTAAATGCACCAAGACCCCTGAATGTTGACCGATCCCATCCCTTTCATCGCAGGGATTCGCTGGAGCGAGTCCCCTTCCAGCCACCCTCCCGAGACAGCCTGGGCCACAGCCACGCTCTGTGGGTTTTGAATTTCGCAGCAGTAAACATATACCATCTCGTAATCTGCCGAAAATGATGGTAGCAGCAATGGTTTCAATAGCAGTAGTAACATGGGCTTCACCATCTTACTAGCAACGACAAGAAGAAGAGGAGGCGGCATACTTAATAGTCATAGAGTCATAGTATTAGATATAGTGGTGGTGGTAGTCGTAGTCGTAGGCGTAGTCGTCGTAGTCGTAGGAATAGGAATAGGAGGAGTAGGAACATGTGTCACCTAAGTGCGAAGCATGAGGCAGTTCGTTTGTGGACCGTTGGCGAAGCACCCGAAAAACCTCCTCCCCACGACCTGAAGTCCAAACGAAGTTTAGGGTTTAGGGTTTAGGGTTTAGGGTTTAGGGTTTAGGGTCCAAACCTAAACCCTAAACCCTAAACCCTAAACCCTTTTCCCTAAACCCTAAACCCTAAACCCTAAACTCTTCGCCCGCCAGCTTGACTCACGACAGGCGGTGTCTTAGCTTTCCCTTACGAACCCCATGGCTTCCTTGCTCTTTGCTGGCCTCCTGGTCGCGGCCGTCGCAGCCGACATCCCGCTGGCCTCCTTCGGACACTGAGCCTGCAAGGTCTGGTTTAGGGTTTAGGGTTTAGGGTTTAGGGTTTTGCAGAAGTCTTGCAGGGTTGGTATGGTTGCAAGTTTGGAGTATAGGAAGGATTCCGAGTAGCATGCCCTGACAGTCACTGTTAAAATTACACCATAAGCCCTAAATCCTAAACCCTAAACCCTAAACACCATAGCATACTCCAAACCCCCAGGTTGACTTATGGAGCCTCCCCCCGTGTACGGTGCGCTGCCCAGAGAGCCCAATACCCCTCAAATAGGGAATATACTTTGAATTACAGGGGTCTTAATATTATGATATAAGGTATATTCCTTAATTAAGGGCCCTAAACCCTAAACCCCCCTAAACCCCCCTAAACCCCCCTAAACCCTAAATCCCTACTATTAGGATTCAAGGTATACTTCTTGATTAAGGGGTCCCTTGGGCTCTCTGGATGTTCTTCTCGAAGCATCAGATCTGGGACTGGCGTGCGCACGATTCATGGCCCTGGGGTCGCAAGGGCTGCTGCCGAACTCAGGGTTCACCGAGACTCCAATATCCCTTAATTAAGGGATATACCTTAAATTATAGTAGGATCCCTACTATGATTTAAGGTATATCCCTTAATTAAGCAATATACCTTAAGTTATAGTAGGATCCCTAATATGATTTAAGGTCTAAGTCTTAATTAAGGGATATTGGAGTCTCTGAGTTCAGGGTTCAGGGCTTAGGGCTTAGGGTTCAGGGTTCCGGGCTCAGGGGTTCAGGGTTTAGGGTTTGGGTTTAGGGTTTAAGGTTTAGGGCTTAGGGTCTAGGGCTTAGGGTTCAGGACTTAGGGGGTCACACGTTGATATCAGGCCTCGTGGCGGCGGGCCTGTGTGTTTTAGGGCATACACGGCAAGTGCTG